TGGTAACCATTAAAACGTTGATTTGTAACCAAATATATCCTTTACACTAAATTGGATACTACTGTTTGCTAACCAGAAATAGTATATCCATACATATTTATTTAAGCAATTATATAACTTAATAACCTGCATTTATTCAAATTCTTGACTCTAACATTTTTAATTATGTTAGAAAATGGTGAATGGTGTATTTTTTATTTACTAGATAATTTTTTAGTTGGGATTTGTGTCAAGCTACATTTAGATGGAAATGGGAATTAATTAAAAATATACAAAAACTGCATTTTAAAACTGCTTTTATTAGTTAAATAAAACTACTTTAAATGTGCTAATACATAAGGGGAAAAAGCTTATCAAAGTACATTTTGGATTTAAAATGGATTCCTCAAACAAAGAAAATATTAACCATCGTTAGTCAATTAACCATAGTTAGTCAATTAATTTTGGTTGCCATTGACCAGATTTTCAAAGGTATTTTAGCACCTAAAGATGCAGACAGGTGCCTAGTGGGATTTTTCAAAAGCTCCTACACAGGTTAGGCACCTAACTCCCCTTGAAATCAATGGGAATAGGTGCCTAACCTCTGCTTGAGAACATTTGAAAACCCCACCAGGTGCCTATCTGCATCTTTAAGTGCCTAATGCATTTGAAAATCTGTCCCCATGCCCCTCAAGTTTTTAAGTTGAGTAGATCTCATCCTCTCCCGCCTGTTTTTATTCATAGATTGGAAGAGGAAGCAAGATTTCCTGCTTTCTCAACACCCAATCGATTTCTTAAATTTGAACGAATTAATGCAAATGAAGAAAATGTTGTTTCTGCACCTGCTATCTAAACTGAACCCAAATATAATTAAGGCAAAACCTTTTCTGGACAATTGAAATTGAAAATACTTCCATTTGCTCAATTCTAAAGACTGAAAATAATATACATTCTTAATGCAGTACATGGCATTGTGACAAATTTAGATAGTTTGAGTAGATCTCAAAAGGAAGATGTTTTCCCCTGATTATATATCTTATTAAAAAAGAAGCCGCTCTTTAACTCATTAGAATTTGAGGAGGCCTCAATTACAAATCCTGTTGCTGTCCTGTGCCAGCTGACTCAGGCTCACAGGGTTTGGGCTGCAGGGCTGTTTAACTGCAGTGTAGATATCTGAGCTTTGGCTGCAGCGCAGGCTCTAGGACCCTGTGAGGTGGGAAGGTGCCAGAGCTCGGGCTGCAGCCCAAGCCGTAACGTCTACATTGCAATTAAACAGCCCCGCAGCCCAAACACTGCAAGCCCAAGTCAGCTGGCACAGGCCAGCCGCGGGTGCCTAACTGCCGTGTAGACATACCCATTGATGCAGTGCTTTTATTTATTTAAATGATGTTAATAGGTTCTGGGAAGTTTAGGCCTTAATGCTGATTGTGGTAATTTCAAATTTAACTTTAAACAGATTTTTTTTAAGGAAAGGTATTTAAATTTTATAAAGTCTGATATTTAAAATGTCATTTTTTAATCCATCCTCTGACCTTTCCTATCAGATTGTGGATTGCAAGCGTTGATGTGTATTCAGTTTTCACCTTTTCTAAGTGTAATATAGAGGTTTCAAGTGGTGTTTGGGAGAATACATTTAATAGGCAACATTTATCTTAATGTACATTCACTATTTCATAAACTGGGACAGCTTCCTATATCTAGAATATGATGACATGGTGAGCTATAATAGCACAGTAAAATAATTGCTTCTTTTTAATGCAAACCACTGTGGTGTTGTATTCTAAAGAGACTAGTTATGATTTGGATCTGTCCTTAAAAAACAAAGAAAAACCTAACTTTTCTAGTATAGATATAAGATTTAGCATTATTTTAACTTTCCTTACATAGTAAAATACAGAACATGTCAATGTTGGTGTGAGCCTGGCTTTATATATGCCAGACAAGTGGCATAATACTTCTAAACATTCATTTTTCATTCAATTTTAATTATCACCTGAAACTCCAAAATCTGTTGCCACAGCTTTTTATTTAAATCTGCAATAATTTGCATTGTTGTGTCCAAGGCTATGATGTGTATTGATTGCGGATCTGTTAAGGAGAAACTCCATGTTTCTTAATTAGCATATGGTTAGCAATGACCTCTTTTTTCACACACAAGTGACAGCTGAATTTGCTTTTTGCAGAGTCTGGAGTAACTGGATTCAAGTCACACAGACATATGCTTAGAATAGAAACATATCAGATGTAGGAAAGTTTAAAGTGACAGTGATACATATCATTGATATGTATACTATTTATCTTGGAGCTTTGTCATGCATTTCTCCTCTTTCACCATTTTAAGGAAGATGTTCCTTGCTTTCACTGATTCTGACTCCACTATCAATTTCATTTGCATGGATAAAAACCATTAGTTTCCCTCTTCCCCCTTGTAACAGGAAGGATGGAGCAGTTTTTTACGTTAAAATGTTACAGTAGTTCCCTTCTTTACTTGTAATAAGAGGGTCGAGTTCACCAATTGCAAGAGCAGGTACAACTCCACTGACTTACTGATGATGCCCAGCAGTGAATTTGGGTTAACTGCAAGATAGCAATCAAAGCTTAAATGTCCCCAGTGAAAAGACTCCTTTGGGTTTTTTAAACAAATAAGACTAAAAAGAATAATTTAAAACATAGTTTAAAAAGCAAAATCTCAAAATTGCTTATCCTCCTTAAACAGCTCAAATAATTCCACGAGAGAAATAGTTTTTAGATGCAGAAATGTTTTACTTTCACTTTTGTGGTGGTTAGTTAATATTCTGAAAACTCTTTTCAAAGCCTAAGTGAGTGCTCACATGAAAACATGTCCACGTATACCTTCTTCCATTTGTAGCTCAGCAAGTCATGCTGTTTATAGATGCATTCGGCAGCAACCCACTAGCACCCCATCTGATCCTGTCCTTAAAGAGCCAGAGAGCATGCCCTGTATTTTTCTGCTTTGAAAAGGGTTTAACTTTTTCAGAATACAAAGATTTTATGGTGGGTTTTTATTATTCCAGTGGCACAGTTCACACCACTAGAGTTAAGCTTTTCTATAAACCCTTGTTGTCAGTGGCTTATAACTTTGATATAAAAAATCCCTCCAGGCTGTTACTTAGTAATAATGGTCTCAGACTTCTGTTTCAAACTTTTTTGAGTTGTGGTACATATAAAAAGATATTTGAATTAGTTTTAAAACACTAATTTTTTTAAAAATCAAAAATAAATTTGCTCAACTATTGCAAAAATAAAAACAGTCAACATGGGGGTATGAGAACTCTGAAAAACTTTTTTAAAGCAACTTGATGGTTACGAAAGTGATTTTTTTTAAAAATATTTCAGTTCATTTTTACAAATATACTTTAAAGTTATTAGTACACAAAATAGTCTAAATGATATTGTATTTTGAACGTATATGTATATTTTTAACGTTCATGTTATGGTTCTAAACTTTGACTTTACTCATGAGCAGTAACTATTTTCATGAGTATTTTTAATATGTGTTTGCATTCATCTTTATAACGATAGTACTTGTGCATCATTATTTCAGTGTGGAGTTAGGTTGCAATATTATCTTTATTATCAATAATTATTACTTAATTCACCATAAGTGTGCATAGTGCCTTACAGACAAAAAGTACAAGTTCCTTCCTGAGGTGTTTATAATTTAAATTCCATGAAGTACAAAAGGTTTGCTTTCTGAAATAGTGTATGTAGGTGGGGTGCTATAAAATCTTTAGGACCAACACTTCAGAATAGCTATATTAATCTGGCATTGTAAAGCCACGAATGAATTATGTAGGTCTTCTCAAACAAGAGGCAATATAAACTTTATGGCACCTCATGCTCCCACATGTTGTCACACATTCAATATAATTTTGCCAGAGTGAAGTGATTTTTTGAAAAAAATCACTTATTCTCATCTAGTTTAGAATTATTTCTTTATTGCTCCTCTCTCTGCTTTCACATTGGGTTGCCTTGTTTACCACAATATATTAAACGTGTGTGACTCTTTGAAGTATGTTAGTTACTAAGGAAACACAGCTGTCATTCGCAAAAAGAAAAGGAGTACTTGTGGCACCTTAGAGACTAACCAATTTATTTGAGCATGAGCTTTCGTGAGCTACAGCTCACTTCATCGGATGCATCCGATGCTGTAGCTCACGAAAGCTCATGCTCAAATAAATTGGTTAGTCTCTAAGGTGCCACAAGTACTCCTTTTCTTTTTGCGAATACAGACTAACACGGCTGTTACTCTGAAACCTGACAGCTGTCATTGGTATGAATGGAGTTCAATGAGATCACATTGCTAGAATTTCAGTGCTGAACTTCTGTTTCCTATTGCATTCTACCATATTATTCAAAGGTTGCATTTGTGAGCATTTTGTGTGCATTTCGTATTGCTCCAAAGTGATCTTCCAGTTTGCTGCTCTTCTCGCATTCAGCTTTGCTGGTGTGTGTCAGAGATGGTTGAATGGAATGTAAAAAACTTATAGCATGCACCCAACTCTGACTGATGAGTTGGAAGGATGATATCTGAATTAGTGATTATTACAAATGTAATACAAAGTCAGTTTATATAATGTCATGGAACAATCCTTGACCAGTAACTGATGGCAAGTGGTATGACAGAAAAGTGCTTAAAAAGTATTTTGGGAGCACAGCCTTAGAAATGCTTGAAAATTCTAGAGGAGTTTTGCCATGAAGGTATGGAGGGAGTCTACTGATTTCAGGTGCTCTGTAGTAGGAGGAATTCTCTCACCTTTGGAAATGCAGTAGCTAATTAGGAAGAGGGGAGGGAATCAGCCATCCACCTCTTCTTCCTTTCCTCACCATTCCTTGCACACATTGGCTGGAATAAAACTTCTGGCTTGTTACCTATTGGATGGTTTGTCAAGATGGATTTTGAAAACTGTACCACAATCTGTTTGTGATTATTTTCATTGGTGCATATGTGGCATAAATAGACTTCTAAAATTTTTGGGTTTTTTTGTTTTGTTTGGTAGGTATGTTGATGATGTGATCAGCCGCATTGATAGGATGTTCCCTGAAATGTCTATCCATTTATCCAGGCCAAATGGAACCTCTGCAATGCTTCTGGTAAGTTCCACCATTTGGTTTTGAGGTAATCCAGTGGGGGTTGAATGCTTAAAGGACTAATTTGCTGTTCTTAAAATGAATATTGCTAAAGACTCAAGTACATTTCAGAGTAGTAGTGTCCTGAGGCGGTACAATAATGTAGTTCATTTCTTCCTCTTGGTAAGGAAGATGGGAAAATATATTTGACTTAGTCCGAAAGCAAAAAGTACTGATCCAGTCCTGGAAGTCGTATTGGCAGAGTTCAGAATCAGGAGGACTTTGTGGGAATCAGCCCATGGACATTGCAAAATGTGATTCCCAAGATCGCTCTGCATTTCTGATGGAGAGTTGCAGGAAAGATTATTAATTGAACAGGAAAAGCATTAAATGAGTTTGAGGGGAAAATACATGTCTTTAATTTTTGCACTGATAAAAAGTTTGATAAATAACATCAGAATGACTGAGAGTCATTTGACAGTAAAAAGATTTTGCCGTCTTGACTATGATCCTGATTCTGCAGCATTGAAGTAAAGGAAGTGTTGCCATTGAGTGCAGTGGGAGCAGGATCAAGTCTTGTTGCTGATTCTTAATTGGAGAAGCAAATATTCTTAGTATTAAGATCTTCCTATTATCCATATTCTCCTACTTTGATTTAGTGAAGGGATTAATCTTTTAATTTAGAGGGCTTTTTGTTTTGAAAAGAAAAGTAAATGGTCAAAAATAGCTCCTCTCTCTAAAGGGATTAATGTGCTACTTTAACATCCAAACTATTAGATATGATTGTGGAAGACTGAGTCTACCCAGCCTCAAACACGTTAACCGTGCCTTCAGCAGCATTATGAGGGAGGGTGAGTTTAATGGGGTAAAAAAATCCCAGTGAAATAAGTTTGTCAAATTATTTCTGGGTCATTGAGTTTCTGTTCCATGATCTAGTCAGGAATTTGGCATCGGAGTGAATGAGCAGTAAAGACTGGATTATCGATAAACAGGTCTGAGATATTAGAGTTTCTTCTGTTTGAGTGAGCAAGCTTTTATTCCACAAGGACCTATCAGCCACATCAATTTTCACATGCAGCTGCTGCGTTAATGTCAAGACGAGAGCATTTAAAATTTTTAGGGTAGAAGATTAACCTGTTGAAGGGTTTTGAGCAGTGGCTGTATGACACTTTTAATGTAGTTAGCTATTTTTGTGCTATCAAGGTGAGTGATAGAAGTCCCATTTTTTGGCACATTTAAAATAAAACAAAAAAATATATACTATGGGTGGGAGAGGAAGTGGATGGGACCTATTCAATCTTTTTCATCTAACTTCTCATTCCATTTCCTTTTATGATTAATTTTTCATTGTCACATACACAACTATGGAAAGATTGGATATAACAGCTGTGTGGGTAGGTATGGATATATATGTAGTTTAAAACACTGTCATAAAAGGGTTCAGAAACTAGGGTAATTTCTACAAGGGTATCCAACATTAGCACTTTGATACTGTGCTGATGGTCTTGTACATGTTAGATAACAAATATCCACGTGGAAAGTGGTCTCAAGGAGACAGAATATGGGACCAGAAAAAGGTTAACCTGTTCACGTTACAGAACACATTTCTTGGTTACTTAGTGCTTCCTGGCTCATTATTCAAAGTATTTAATCTTCTATAGTTATAGTGAATATTAAAATGAATCTAAAATCAGAATCTTTGACAAAATGTAGCAATACACTGGCCTTCAATTTCAAATGTTGGGTCATTTAATCCAATTTTACACTGATGATTTCATCTGTATTTCTCAACAGTGGGAAGGAAAGACTTGCACAAGATGTGCTGATTTATAATTATAATATCCTGGTGGTCATTCTAACCTTCTTTTTTGGTCACTTTGTTGGAAACTTCAGTTAATCAGATGTAGAAAAGAATTCAAGCTTTCATTTAATGTCCAGTCTGAGACAAAGCTAAACCAAACTGTAAACATATTTGACAGGTTTCACAGTAGCAGCCGTGTTAGTCTGTATTTGCAAAAAGAAAAGGAGTACTAGTGGCACCTGAGAGACTAACCAATTTATTTGGGCATAAGCTTTCGTGAGCTATAGCTCACTTCATCGGATGCATTGATGAAGTGAACTATAGCTCACAAAAGCTTATGCTCAAATAAATTGGTTAGTCTCTCAGGTGCCACTAGTACTCCTTTTCTTTTTGTAAACATATTTGTGACTCACTGTTAGTTGCCATCTAGAATCTGGGCTGTTTCTGTCGCATTTGTAGACTTTAGAACCCTCAGTATTGGAAAATTCCCTGTACATTCCTTAAAAGGATGAGTTCGTTTATCCATAAGTCTAGCTGTGTTGATATTTAGTTTCAGGTAATCAACTAACATCCCATTATTAATTTTCTTTGAACAGACAAAAAATTTTAAGAGATTAACTGAGTCAGAAGTTAAACAGCTGCTTTCATAGGCATTAAAACATGTCAGTTTGATTAATCAAATGGAACCACATAATATCTAAGGAGCCATAAAATGGTAGTCCTCATGATGCTTTTAAAGTCACTCTTAGGTTTATTTATTTATAGCATTTTCTGTATGAGAACATATTTTCACTTTGAACCCAACTTTGCTGGATTCAGAGCAGCTCCTACTAAAGGCTGAGTGCCCTCAAATTATTTTATTGTAGTGGGAGTTGAGGACACTCAACACTGTTTAGGACCAAGTCCCAAGCATACAATGTGATTTGGCCACATTGACAGAGTACAAGTAAGGAATAAAGTTGTTGGAAGAGACTCTTTTTTTGCAATAAGTAATAACATGTTGGATTGCACGATTAACTTGCCCTCTGTGTACCACCACTAAATCAAGGACATGATTACTGGTACCAGATACTTGCAGTGTACTGAACCAGTGATATTCACCTTTCGGTTGGTATTCACATAATCCACAATCAGAGATCATGAAACTTTGTTGTTTGTTGTATACGGTCATGTAATGATCATTTTTCTTTTCAGGCAGCTATTCCTTCTATTTCCCATCTGTGTCAGGCTATGTTGCCAATATGGCATCTTCCATTTGCCCCTCACTGCCATAACAGCTTTTGCTGGTTTCAGCCACAATCGGTCAGTGAAAGGGGCTCTGTGATGGGCAGTGAGACTGGTACCTGTGCCACTAGAGAAAAGTGAGTCTTCCCTAATACTTGTGACTTGTCGATATCTGAGTGAGAGTCCCAAGTGAGTCCAGTTTAGAGTTTCTGCACAACGGCACTTTTTCTCTGCCACAACGCTTCCTGGTTCATTCCCTTACTTCAAATAGTGATTCAAAAGACATGTATTATTTTAATTTAAAAAATTTGTATCAACAATCTGTTTACCAAGTAGTCTTTATTAAATAACTATATAATCTCATTGATGCAACCTTTGTCCATCCCTTCCCTACTGTTTTGTCCCCCCTCAGTTTTGCATTATGTCTGAAATTATAGTGTAAGCTCTCTGAGGCAGGGGACATGTCTTGCTTTTGTACTGCAAGGCATCCAGCATGCTCTAAAATAATTCAGCTGACCAAGAAAAGTATATACTTACTAATAAAGGTATTGGCATGAGGAACAAGTATATTAAGAAGGCCCAAATTGTTGTGACCTTGAGGGCCCATATTTTCAAACATTGGGCTGGATTGTGCCCTCTCCCTTTGTGAGTGGAAGAGACCAAAATGGTAGGTCAGTGCAGGGGAAGTTATGGAAGGGATCTGCTGGGTCAAAAACATGGCCTCCCTCAATGTTAAATTAACCCTTCACGCTGTGTAACTCTCATTGTGGGGCTTCGGGATATGTATTTGGAATCCTGCTTCTAGGGAGCTGGAAGAGGGCACATGCAGAGGCCAAGAGAAGTCCATTTGTTTGGGGAACCAACCTCCCGTTTGTTCTGTGTGTAATGGGGATGTAACTTTGATGTTCTATCCCAAAAAATCAAAGGCAAGACAATTCCACAAGGAGAACTTCATAATTTCCAGCCCCACGACCACCCCCTTCCCCTGGAAATTCTCACTCAGAGGATGATCTTGCCCTTCGTTTTAAAACATTTTCATTTTCAGACTTAGCAATGCATGTTCTGTTATCATGACCTTTTTGAGTGTCTAGTTTGAAGTTTCGAAGTTTAGCTGTTCTTAGTTATCTTTATGGGGGAAGTGGTAAAAATATGCTTGCTATACCTTTTATAACTTCAAAAGGATGAAGGAGTTTGTTCAAACTTTCCAAAACAAATCACCTCTGGGAAGAGAACTTACACTGAAAATGTTAGCCCAAAAGATTATTGTTCGAGAAAGTTTTGAGAATTTAGAAATTGTTTTGCAACTTTAACAATAGCAGTTGTGACTACTGTAATCCACAATTCCTTCAATGTCCCAAAAGTAGTAGTTCTCACTGGAAAGACACCATCTGGCAAACAAAAGTAGACCTGCAGGTTTGCTTTCAACTGGTAGTAACCTTCTTGCGAAGCTTGTCCATCAGTTAGCAGTATACATCTTTCAACACAAGTCGCAACCAGTAAGCAAGAAGATACTAACCTATTCCTAGAAGCATAAATGTTGATTCTGAAAGATTCCTACATGCAATCCTATGTGACTGTTGCTTCTTCCAGACAACTGAGTCTTTTTGTGTTTCAGATTTATACACAGCAATTGTACCTCATTAGCTTGGATTTAGGCTGCATAGACCAAACACATAAATCATTGACATCTTTCAGAGCTGTGTGAAATCCTCAACTGATTTTAAAAGCTGTTTATCATGGTATTTCAGTGTGCAGTTTAATCCCAATCTACACTATTGATTTTTCAATTAATTTTTTATTTGTAGCTATGCATGAAAGAAGACAAACATTCACTTTAGATCAGCTTCAATAAAAGTGCTATGCAAAATTAATTTGCTATGGCAGTGGAGTGAACAGAGGACTCTTTTAAGGTTTTTCTTTGACTTTGTTGCTCAACTTCCATTAGCTTGCAATATTTAAATTGGGATGATAAACAGATAAACTTTTCCTAATATGTTAA